TGATTCATTCAGGAACAAAACACCGTCATGTTGCTCAGAGACGCAAAGCAGCGCTGTGGCTTTGTTTGGAATTATTTTTGTTGGCGAAATAGTGCAAAAACAGGCAATATGGTGTCTAAAACGTAAGTCTCTTAATAAAACTTCTAGTTTATTGAACTGTTGTAAAACAATCAATATCACATTTGTATATGGTAATTTTTGGAGAAAAAAAGGCACTCTTCCGTGTGAAATTGATTAACTATATGAAGTGGTATAAATATACACATTTTCTGCCCCCATGTCCTGTATTTGTGATCATTCTGAATGTATTTTAATAGACTGAATCATGCAGTGATCACGCAAAGCGGACTCTAAATGCGCACGCGCACTAGACTTCACGTAATGCGTGCACTCTGTAGGTGTTTGGCATGTTTTTTTGCGTCGTGAGAATATTGAGTAAAATAGCTCACTTGTCATGGAGTTATTGAACTATATCATGTTATGAATAAACTAAACATTCTGAATTTTTACCTCAGTGTGTTTCTTCTGAGTTTATGTGTGCGGTCACGCTCATTTGTTCTGAAGTCTCGAGACAAACAGAGTGAGCCTCCGCGCGAGCTTGTATTCTGCTAACTTGCTGCAATTCTTTCTGATGACGCAGTAACTTACCGCGGGAAGAAAAAATCTTCGGTCTGTCCAATGATTGTAAAGTCATCAGGTCCGTCAGACTGAAGATATTTTAGCGGTAATGTGTCCACAAATATTTAAGACCCGTCGAATCCGAATTTAAGACATTTTAAGACTTTTTAAGGACCCGCGGACACCCTGTACATATTTGTTAGCTGACAGGGGCATGTCGACACGTGGAACCACATGCGCCTACAGATATATTTCACAAGTAGTAAATTCAACACAATGTAAAGTGGCAATATTGGATAAATGGTTATCAGAGAGTGTATAAATGTATTCAAATTCTGAACGGATTATAGCCCAGAAAGTATGCAAAGAGCACTCCCCTTATCACTAAAAAGCTCAGGTTTAAGAGATTAAGGATAATCGATTATTTGATCGTTAATTTAAAGGATGATTGATCATGGGAATTTCTGTAAATTAGCATCCCTTGAGTCCATAATGGAAAACGTATTGGCTACTTACAGCATGCGACGCCACTTGGCGGTACTTGCCGAGATCTTCTGCTCTGACCAGCTCCTCCGGCACAGTCTTTCCTCTCTGAAAAACAAAGCCACATAAAAGGCTAAGTACATTTATGAAGGCACACAGTGCTCCACACAGTGACTAAATAAAAGCACAATTAAATCCTCACCTTCTTTCTCTCTGTGGTTAAGACGGTGGCCTTGTCTTGGAGCTGTAAAACATCAATTTCATTAGATTTGAAAAAAGAATCTCACATGCAATGAAATCATTGCAGAACATTCAACCACGAGGTACTTTTATTTCAACACACCTTCTGTATGATCTCTGGAGTCATTCCAATCTGCTCACTGATCTCCATGGCCTCACCGCCAGCACCCTACAAGATCAAATCAGTTTAAAGATATTACAAAAATATATACACTTAAATAGATTGTACCAAAAAAAATTCCAGTGTTGGGAATCATTTGGACTCAATTTTGATGACATATAGTTTGTTTTTATTTCTATTTTAATGGCAAGATCATGGCATCTTTAAAAATAAAACCGTATTTCCATAAAGTGGTAATGAAAAACCACTAACAACCAACTCGACTTCATTATAACCAGAATTTAGATGCATTTACACAGACTGCTTATTGCAGCTCAGATATGTAATGAATGCATTTACAATTTTATAAATAATGAAATAGACATTTTGGGTTTGAATATAAATTTTGAACATTTAAATGTTATTAAAAAATTACAAACTAAAACTAAACATGAAACTACAATCACCGGCTGGTGGCAGATAGTCATCATTATTTCAAACGATTCATTCTAAATGGCTGATCGTTATGAATGTGTCAGTGAATCATTCAGTCAAATGATTAGCGGCATTTTGTTGGCAAATTAATCAGTGTTTTTGAACAATGTTGTCGGAGACGCACACCGTTTCTGCTGCGGATTTGTTCGGAAATTTCATTGGCTGCTACATCACGTAGTCTTTTTAAACATAGTACTGTTTTCGCAAATCATTTTTTTTCTCCCACCTATAATGAACGCATAAATTGGCTGTTCACACTGTCAGTTTTTGGGATTGACAACCGCATTTTCTTTACAGGTGTGAGTCTCGAAATGTCACGTTCACACAGCAGCGTACAGTTGTGTTTAGAATACTTTCTGTATGAACGTGCAATGGGAGTCAAGCCCCTATTCCTTACTAGTAACCATAGCGACAGTGACCAAAGTAAATTCAAAGATGGCGACGTGCATAAAACTGAAAGTCGTATCACTTTCTGACACGTCAAGAGTCCAATCGAGCCGCAAGTTCTTTTGTCAAATCTTCATTAACCAACAGCAGCTTTTAAATTTTGGTGGAGAGCGGAGTATTTGAGTCGCGCGCAGAACACAAAACTGACGGGAGCGGCTACGGTGGAAAACTGAAGGGATCTAAAACGTTCAGATGACATGCAGCTCATTTCTCCATCACTGTAAGTTACCAAAAACACACATGAAAACACGTAACACACGGTAGATGCGCGTTTGTGCACAGAGCGGCTCTCTCTCGCACTGTATGACGTGACAGACAACTAGTTGTCCAGTCCTGTTCCGCTCACACAGCGCGTGTGTTCCGAGAATGCGGTTGTGAGTACTGAAAATTTACAAGTGAGAGTTCGGTTACAGAATGCGAAAGTTCTTTTGTCAAATCTTCATTAACCAACAGCAGCTTTTAAATTTTGGTGGAGAGCGGAGTATTTGAGTCGCGCGCAGAACACAAAACTGACGGGAGCGGCTACGGTGGAAAACTGAAGGGATCTAAAACGTTCAGATGACATGCAGCTCATTTCTCCATCACTGTAAGTTACCAAAAACACACATGAAAACACGTAACACACGGTAGATGCGCGTTTGTGCACAGAGCGGCTCTCTCTCGCACTGTATGACGTGACAGACAACTAGTTGTCCAGTCCTGTTCCGCTCACACAGCGCGTGTGTTCCGAGAATGCGGTTGTGAGTACTGAAAATTTACAAGTGAGAGTTCGGTTACAGAATGCGATTGTCACACCCGTAAATAACCGAACTGTGTGTGAACGTAACCGTATTAAGGACTCAAATATAGGCCTGTCACAATAACTTTTTGTTGTGCAATATATTGTCCCAGAAATAATTAGGGATGCGCCGATCTGATATTCATATCGGGTATCGGCTCCGATAGTGCCATTTTTCTCGGATCGGGTATCGGTCAGAGAGAACCGATCCAAATCCGATAAAAAAAAAATTCCGATTGTGCGAATTATTCTGTGTTACTTCTGAAGCCATACGATAGCTTAATGTGAGCTACATATGAATATTTAAGTCCTTACATTAAAGTTCACACAAACTCTTTTCTCCGCTGTGGCTGTCAGTCATTCGTTCAGCCTTTAAAGTTTAAACCCTGGTCTCGTTCGGTTACAGCAGTCAGCTCGGTAAAGCTCTCTCCAAGATCATTCTGTGTTCCCATTATACTTGATTTGTAAATATATGTCTATGATTTTACAAAAAGGACTTTGTGTAACATTTTACCATATTTAGCACTTTTATTTGTTCTCACAAAATATTGTTTTTCACTAAACGTTTGGATTTCTAAAATTATTGTGCACTGATTTTTCTAGAATAACTTTTGCTGCCGAATTATCCACCAACCTAGTTTATGATAAATTTTTGTCAGATTATAAATATACATAGGCCTATATTTTTTCATATTTATTGTTTATTAAATTTTTCTTTATAATGAAGTAGTCTGTATCTACTAGATTGTGAAAGAATGATTATCAGTTCCACACACAGAGATATATAAATTCGACATTTATTTAAATGAGGGAAAAAAACTTCACTGGTATCGGATCAGTATCGGTATCGGCCAATACCGAACCCTAGGTATCGGAGGCGAAAAAAGCGGATCGGCGCATCCCTAGTTAAGGGTGGAAATAAAGAATGAGTTCAGGACAATAGTCGCATTACAACTGTAACTTTTTATATGATCATCTACAGTCATTCATTTTCAGGACTGTTTTAAGGGGTCATATGATGCGATTTCGATTTTTCCTTTCTCTTTGGAGTGTTACAAGCTCTTGGTGCATAAAGACAAACTTAATTCTTAAGAATATTTAGATCATGAAAATTAAGTAGCAAAATATTAGATTAAAAAACTTGAATAAATAGTAAATAAACATTTTCTGACAAAAAAGTGCAAAGTAACAAGTAGAAAAAAAGAAAAATGCACAAAGAACGTGTATGGAGATTTTTCCATCAACAGATGTTTCCCTGACCTTCTTTTCTCTGTAAATTAAGGCTGCGCACTATTGCTGAAAAACACAATCACTAGTACTCAGCAGTCAGATGTCCGTATATGCACAAAGGCACAGATCCCTAAACAAGGCCATATCTGCAGATGAAACTTTTTTTTGTAGAAGCATTTTTTAAATTTGAACTAGCACCTCGTGACTACACCACGCTATGTACAAGAAGCTGCAAAAGACACAGGCGCAAGTGGAATGTACAAAACACGGTGCCATTATTTTAAGTAACTATAATGGGCGATATATTGCGTCACCAAAATTGATTGAGGTCATGTACATATATTGCGCGATAATTCGATATATTGATTATTGCGACAGGCCTACTCAAATACAGGACTGACAACCGTATTCTGCTGCTGTGTGAACGTGGCCATAGTCTGGAGAAATTACTGACCACAGCTGCAGGCTGAGAAGCAGGAGTGGCCTGTGGAGCGATCAGTCCGGCTTGAGGTTTGAGTGTAGCCAAAGCTGCAAGCAGAATAATGAACACGTCAGTAAAGGCACAGTACCATCAGCACATCCAGAAAGCACAATTCTGCCACTCTCACCCTCTCTGGCGGCAGTGACCTCTTTCGTGAGTCGAGCGATGACTCTGCAGGCCGCATCGTGCTGGTAGAGAGCGTGAGACAGCTCCTGTCGAGTGGTCTGCAACTGTTGCCTCAGAGTAAAACTGTGCAGCATTACGGCATCCTGGAGGACCGACAAACTCAGTGATGGAGAAAGACATCATGCATTTCGTCTTCACACAGTCAGGCCAAAGAACTCACCCACTCATCCTGCAGAGATTTGAGGATCGCGGGAATACTAGTGGCAGAGGGAGCCTTCGGTCGAATGGGGTGAGACACTAAAAGTAAAGAAATGGATGCATTTTGAAGTGGCCATATAGCATTTGAACTTCTCATGAAAACAGTGTCATCTGTGCTGCTGTACCTTTGATATCAATGAGCTGCTCCTCAGACAGTGGCTGTCCACTGATGGGGTCTGCTCCATTCTCCGCTATGTATTTCTCTATCAGACGTCTCTCAAACACTTGATTGGAGACAGGAGAGACACAGGGGTGCTCCGGCACCTCGTTTGAAACTGGGGAGAGAACAAGATCTTTTTAGGAATCCCAATAAATAAAATGCATTCAAATCAAATACAAGTCTCCTTCCTCTTCAGTACAAATACTTCTTTAGGAGGACACCGCGGTTAATCAAATGTTTCTGACAATACGTTATTCTCTCATTTACATGCAATAATTAGCCTAGACTTCACAAAACTTGACATGCACGTTACTTTTCCCTTGTGAGTATGATTTGCTTGTCGAGCTATAACGTTAAAGAAGAGACCGCTCCAGGTACAAACACAAACATTGCGTTAATACGCTTCTAGCTCAATGAAATGCAGCAAAGCCACCAAAAAAGCATCGTAATTAAAGTGTAGTTTCTCATATACGAGGTTTCTGCTAATATAGCACAACAATGGCTAACGCCGCACACTGCTAATCACTCATGCTAACAGAAACAAACTCACTTACTAGCACAAACCAAAGACATCTCGCTCAAACAGACGCGCTCCCGCTTTTCAAGCAAAGATGAAATAAAAATCAACTCATAAACTTAAAATCGACACAGAGTTGATGTTTTTAATCAATGAAGGTGCTGCATGTCCCGATTCAGAACACGTTGATGTGCCGTGCCGCTCAAACAGCGGTGCATGACGGGATACTGACTCCTCCAGAGAGAGCGGAAGCTCAAACCGATGGTCTTCCTCCAGCGGGCGCACGGCTTTGGGCTCATCTTGACACAGCGCTGAGAAATGTAACAGGCACCACGTGACCATGATGAAGCCTTTGTACACTGGCCTAATCATTAATATGTTTTACTGGAAAACAACAGGGACGCTTCTTTCACAGGGTCCCCAACAGGTTTAAAAGTGGCTACATTTTTGCAGGGCTTGTTTTAATGGATTTTAAAGGGATAGTTCACCCAAAAATGAAAATGTGATGTTTATCTGCTTAGCCCCAGGGCATCCAAGATGTAGGTGACTGTTTCTTCAGTAGAACACATTTAATGATTTTTAACTCCAACAGTTGCAGTCTATCAGTGAGCGAGAGCAAGCGCAAATCCTGGCATCGGGAGGTCGCAGCGCCACTTCTGGTGGCATCCCCAGCTGCAACTAGTCGTTTCTGGCAGCTGCCACGGTCTTTCACGCCGTTTCTGCTGTTTGTTCGGTAAAACTACACTGTGCATACTATATACAGGAGCGTAGCCATCATTTCAGAAGTGAGGGGGACAGAAATGTTTTATATTAGGGATGCACGATATATCGGCCACCATATCGGTATCGGCCGATAAATGCAAATTTTTTTCTGTTATCGGTATCGGCCTGATAAGAAAATTTGGCCGATATCTTTAAGCCGATAAATAATGCATTATTTCCTTCAGAGACACTTCAGATGCGCGCTGTTCGTTTGCAGCCTTTTGTGCAATTGTACGTTGTAATATTGTGTTTATTTGATGTATATCTGATTTATCTCATATAGAATGCGTTTGGTTAAGTTAAAAGAGCGCTTCAGTTTACCGGTGATCATCTTTAGCTCAGCACACGCAGCTCAAACAGCAGTGCACAACATTAATAACTATGATTGGGAATGTCGTGTATATAAAATTCTAATGAGAACATTATTATAATAAAACGTTGGGAATTCTTTGGGTTTAGTTGCCGTGTTTCAGCGCGTTGATATGGGACAATAACTGCGTACATATATAAGTTGTAATATTATGTTTATGTTGTATTAATATTAATCTCAGGATGCATTTCCTTGAGTCCTTGAGTTTGCCAGCAAAACGCTTCAGTTGACCGTGTTCATTCAGCTCTTCAGCTTCAGCACGCGCAGCTCAACGGCTGCTATTTAAAACAGTGGTATTAATTTGTTACTTTTTCAAAATCATTGATACATTATTAATAACAACAACCACTTGTATTGTTCTCTTATTATTTTCATCAACAATATGGTTTAGTAATTAAAATCATTTAATTATTGTCCGTGCAGAGGCTATTCCGTTTTATTGATCTATGGCACATTCATTTTGATTCTTTACACGTGTAATGATGTCCAGTGACTTGTTTGCATTATTTATGCATAATTTTATTTATTTGTAAGACTTTATGACTAAATTTGGTAATGGGAGAGTAAAAATATTTTTAAAACGTACACCGTTCAAACTAGGCTGCTTATGTTGAAGTGTTTGGGATGTGGCTTTTAATGATGAGACCTTTTTTGTAATCAGGCTCTCAAAAAGTATATAACAATTTGGATATAGATTTATCGGCCAACATATCGGTTATCGGCTTTCAAAAATAAAGAATAATCGGTTATCGGCCAAAATTTTCATATCGGTGCATCCCTAAAAAA